AAATGGGGCTTTGAAGGAGCTCCAGCCCCATTCTGTGCCCTTTTGTGGTTTCCACTGTGAGTATGGTCTGTTGGTTTTCAAGGCTACTTTAGAGTTGGAGAGGGAAGATGTAAATAAGAAAAAAATTAAAAACTAACAAAGCTCACTGTTCTTACTGAGATACAACCATTTTTCTTGAATAAATGCTCCTAGATTGCTGCAAGCCTTTGGATAATTTCCAGAATTCTAAAAAGTTTAATTCTGACAATGTTTGCCATTAGCCTTATTGTTTGGATAAAGAAGAGAATTTTCTAAGGTCTTTACTCCACCCTTCATTGACATAATGGCTTCCCCCAATATATACTAATATTTATGGCCTGAAGCCAATTACTGCCTTGGGTCTGGAGGCTCTCATCTCCTTTTCCAAATAACATAGCCTGCCCATGCCTGCCCAAATTATTGTAACCAGTAGAAATGTGGTTAAAATTGGTCCATTTCTAAATTTGTGTTAAATGCCTTTTTACTTATTTTTTTACACAAGTACCAAATTTATTTCTGGTATTTATTTCATCACATTTACTGTGATTTAAAAAAAATACAGAAAGTACATGCCATCACTTTGAAAGTGTTCAGATTTCCATGTGGGCATTCTTCTTTTCCCTCACCACTGTTTTTTAAAATTGTTGACACTATTACAGATGTCCCACTCCACCTAACTCCTCCCCACTACCTTCACCACATTGTTGTCTGTGTCCATGGGCTATGCATATATGTTCTTTGGCTAATCCCTTCCAGCCCCCGCAACCTCCTCCCCTCTGAGACTTGTCAATCTGTTCCATATATCCATGCCTCTGGTTTTACTTTGTCAGCTTATTGTATTCACTAGATTCCACATAGAAGTGAGATCATATGATAATTGTCTTTCTCTGGCTGGCTGATTTCACTTTAAATTAAATTTTAATTGATCTAAAACAAATTCCCTATCAGAATTCTGTAACTTGAATTTACTGTTTCTCAGCACTGTATCCATTGCTCTTTAGAACTCTAAGGGATTAGGTGTTTCAATTTGAAACCTATTTTTATAATACTTCTAAATGGTTAAATGTCAGCCGTCCTGCTTTTGGATGAGTTGTTCTTTATTGATCCTTTTCTTGACTTCTTTCCCCCTCTTTCACCATCATGCTATTTCATCCACCTGTGGCCTACTCATTTTTCATATCTGCTTATTGAAATCTTTATTATTCTTATCCTAGTTAACCAAATTATACACTCTGAGAAGGCAGAGACCTTCTTTTGTTCATTTTGAAACCTTATATACTACTAAGCAATAGTGTCTTGATATATTAGGTGCTAAATATTGAATGCCTAAATACTGAATAACCAAATCATATTAAAAACCAGAAAAATGCTTCCATGAAGCTTTCCTTGGTAGTGCAAATGATGTCATTCTTTTTTTAAAGATTTTATTTATTTTTAGAAAAAGGGGAAGGGAGGGAAAAAGGGAGAAAGAGAGGCAGAGAAATATCAATGTGTGGTTGCCTCTCACGTGCCCCCAACTGGGGACCTGGTCCACAACCCAGGCATATGCCCTGACTGGGAATCAAACCAATTACCTTTGATTCGCAGGCCAGTGATCAATCCACTGAGCCACATCAGCCAGGGGTGATGTGATTCTTGTTTGTCTAAACTTCTATTGCCCCTTTACCTCTCAGGGTATTGTTTCATAAGCTGTTTTGAACTCTGTGTAGTTATAAAAGTATATATGTATGTATACACACAAACACCCACACTCTCTTTAAAAGAACTTTTCTGATGCCCTAAACACTAATTGTTAAAAGTTCTTATGGATTGAATCTTCATTAAAATTATAAAATTTTTATACCAAATATATATCAATGAAATGAATAGGGCTTTTTTCAATTAGTTTGTTTATCTATGGATTAATATTAATTTTTTATTTTTAATTTAAATTATTTTATTGTTTTTCAATTACAGTTGTCCATATTTTCTCCCACACCCTCCAAACCCACCTCCCTCCCTTGCTTCCACCTTCCCCCTTGGTTTTGTCCATGTGTCCTTTATAGTAGTTCCTGAAAACCCTTCTCCCCATTGCCCCCTCCCTGCTCCCCTCTGGCTATTGTTAGATTGTTCCTAATTTCAATGGCTCTGGTTGTATTTTGTTTGCCTTTTTCTTTTGTTGATTATGTTTCAGTTAAAGATGAGATCATATGGTATTTTTCCCTCATCACCTGGCTTATTTCACTTAGCATAATGCTCTCCAGTTCCATCCATGTTGTCACAAAGGGTAGGAGCTCCTTTTTTCTCTCTGCTGTGTAGAATTCCATTGTGTAAATGCACCATAGTTTTTTGATCCACTCATTTGCTGATGGGCACTTAGGTTGCTCCCAGTACTTGCTATTGTAAATTGTGCTGCTATGAACATTGGGGTGCATAAGTTCTTTTGGATTGGTGTTTCAGGGCTCTTAGGATATAATCCCAGCAGTGGAATTGCTGGGTCAAAAGGCAGATCCATTTTTAGTTTTCTGAGGAAATTCCATACTATTTTCCACAGTGGCTGCACCAGTCTGCAATCCCACCAACAGTGCACTAGTGTTCTCTTTTCTCCACATCCTCTCCAACACTTGTTTGTTGATTTGTTTATGATGGCCATTCTGACTGAAGTGTGAGGTGGTATCTCATTGCGGTTTTAATTTGCATCTCTCTGATGGCTAGTGATGCTGAACATCTTTTCATGTGTCTCTAGGCCCTCTGTATGTCCTCCTTGGAGAAGTGTCTGTTTAGGTGTTTTGCCCATTTTATAATTGGGGTTTTTGTCTTCCTGGAGTGGAGTCATGTGAGTTCTTTATATATTTTTGAGATCAAACCCTTGTCCAAGGTGTCATTGGCAAATATGTTTTCCCATGCAGTTGGCTGTCTTTTCACTTTAATGCTATTTTCTTTAGCCATGCAGAAGCTTTTTAATTTGATGAGGTCCCATTTGTTTATTATTTCCTTTATGTCCCTTGCTTTAGGGGATATATCTGTGAAGATGTTGCTGCGTGGAATGTCTGAGATTTTCCTGCCAATGTTTTCCTCTAGGACTTTTACAGTGTTATGGCTTATATTTAAGTCTTTTATCCACCTTGAATTTATTTTGTGTGTGGTGTAAGTTGGTGATCGAGTTTCATGTTTTTGCATGTAGCTGTCCAGATCTCCCAACACCATTTGTTGATGAGGCTATTTTTACTCCATTTTATGTTGCTGTCCCCTTTGTTGAATATTAATTGACCATAAAGACTTGCATTTATTTCTGGGCTCTCTATTCTGTTCCATTGGTCTATGTTCCCATTTTCATGTCAGTGCCAGGCTGTTTTGATTACAGTGGCCTTGTAATACAGTTTGATATCAGGTATTGTGATCCCTCCTGCTTTATTCTTTTTTCTCAAAATTGCAGCAGCTATTCAGGGTCGTTTATGGTTCCATATACATTTCTGAAACGTTTGTTCTATATCTGTGAGATATGTTATGGGTACTTTAATAGGGATTGCATTGTATCTATAAGTTACTTTGGGTAGTATGGGCATTTTGATTATGTTAATTCTGCCAATCCATGAGCATGATACATGCTTCCATTTGTTTGTGTCTTCCTTAATTTCTTTCTTCAGTGTTGTGTAGTTTTCTGAGTACAGGTCTTTTACCTCCTTGGTTAGGTTTATTCCTAGGTACTTTATTTTTCTTGTTGCTATAGCAAATGGGATTTTTCCTGGATTAATATTAATTTTTTCCAGAGTATGATACATTTAGCACCAGTTTTATTTATGTTTTTTGTATTTTCGAGGTATGTGATTATATACCTACTTATGTAAATGGAATGGGAATGGAAGTTTTGCACATCAATGTTACCCAGTTCTTTGAACTTCTTTCAAGTTATTTACTATAAGTTACCATGCCCTAATATCAAAAACTATTTTAATTATTTATAAAGTGAACATCAGCCTTTGATTTTTTTCAAAGCAAAGAATCTGATGCTGTCTACCTTGCAAAACTATATATTAGCCAGTTAATAGAATATTTGACTTCCTCAACACCTACACCAGTATTTGGAATTCTTCTTTTATTTAGTGCCTGGGAGATTTTTATATCCTGTGACTTTGCACACATTAAGAATCAAAATAGGTGAAAAGTATACATCTCTTTAGGGAAGACAGGCAAAGGCCATAGTGAAAGGGAATTAACTACAGATTTTTTTCTCAGACAATTCAGATTTAGGCAAGAATACATATGGAAGTTGAGGATTGTCATATGGATTCCCTTGAAACTATCACTGCTTTTCATCCACTGAAAAATCATCCTTTTATAAGTCTCTAGTTATAAGACCACTGCTTTATAGCATTAGCACATTTCTGTGTTTGCTGAGTACTCCAAAAGGAGTAAACTAATGCCTATGTTTATTATAACTGAGGAATGGAAATGTTACTACTAAAGTCTTTGGGTTGGTGAGTCATCAGCATTAAAGTGGGTTGAAGACACCCTACCTTTACCCCAAACTGATGAAAATATCATTGTTTTTAAATATATCTTTAAAGCAAAGATGTCCTGGCTTCTTCCTGTTTTCCAAACTTATACATAGCATCTTTCACTCTCATTGAAAGTTTGTAGTTCATAAGTTTATGTTTATTGTTTTAAACTTAGTGCCACTGTAGGTTGTACTATCTTTACAGGCAGATGTGACTAAAAATAGGAAAATTGTGCTCATTTGTATATTTAACTAATTTCTCTATTGTCTTTTTAAGTATATTAACAATTACTATCTTTTAAATGTTCAGGGGTTTTTTTGTTTTGTTTTTTTTTACCAAGACTTCCTTATTAGTTGTTCAGCTATTCTGAACTTTTCAGGAGATGTCTTTATGTTGTATACTTTGATTGTTGTAGTGGGCTGAATGGTAGCCCTCAAAAAGATCTATCAATGCCCTAATTCTCAGAACTTGAGAATGTTACCTTATTTGAAAAAACAATCTTTGGTGCTCACTTTGGCAGCACATATACTAAAATTGAAATGATACAGAGAATATTAGCATGCCCCCATGCAAGGATGACATGTAAATTTGTGAAAATAGAATCTTTGTAGTTATAATTAAGTTAAGGACCTCAAAATAAGATCACCCTGGATTATCTGGGAGGGCCCTAAATGCCATTACATGTGTCCATATAAGAAAGAATAAAATGAACACAGGTACACAGAAGAAAAGAGACATATGGAGAAGAACACAATGTGAATATGGAGCACAGAAAGATGTGGCCACAAGCTAAGGAATGGAAGCAGCCACAGAAGTTGCAAAGAATGGACTTCTCCCTGGATTATTCAGAGGAGAGTATGCCCTGTTGACAATTTGATTTTAGACTTCTGACTTTTTGAACTGTGAGAGAATAAATTGCTATTATTTTTTGCTACCATCTTTGTGGTAATTTGTTATAGAAGCTACAGGGAACTGATACAATTATTTTTTTAAGTTAATTGCATTTTTTAAAATTTTCTTGTTGTTCAATTACAGTTGTCTCCACTTTCCTCCCATTACTCTCCCCATTTCCCCCTGCCTCCACCCAGCCTCCATCCCTTGCTTCCCTCAGGTTTATGCATATATGTTCTTTGGCCAATCCTTTCACCTTTTTTTATTCAGTCTTCCCTCCCCACTCTCCTCTGATAGCTGTCAGTCTGTTCCTTGTATCCGTGCCCCTGGTTCTATTTTGTTCTCTAGTTTATTGTCCACAGTGTTTTGAGGACATGAGCTTTTTTTGTCTAGTGTCTTGAACTTGGTTTGTTTATCATGGAGGAGTAGGTCATTTGTGTTACTTACCCAGCCAGTAGTTTTTCTAAAGATAATTATAACTTTCTTAAATAAATAAGGAAACATTTTTAACACAGGAGAAAAATGAAGGAAAGAGAATAATCATAACCTTTAAATCTTACTTAACAGGAATAGCTTGTGTCTATGGAAATATAGAATGAAATTGGTAAATACCAGTCCAGACCAGGCATGAGCTATATTGATGATCATAAAGTAAATAAATAATTCAGCCTTAGAATGGAGCAAAATTCAGTCAGAGGAATAGGGAGGAGTCAGTTAAGCCTCTATTTTGGTTGCCTGACCATTTAGTTCACTAAAACACCATTTAATGTGTGAGATAAATATATATTCTCAACAAGTGTCTTATACATAGTAGGTACTAAAAATTTAATTTTATATTATTATTATTACTATTGTTAATTCACTTATAACCTTGAGTGAAAAATGCCTTTGCCAACAGTCACTTGTAATTGAGATGGAGAGACAAAGTATATGGGCTGTGATTATAAAGTAATAAATATTTGCTTTTAAAAACCAACAGTTACTTTTTGAGGTATCTTCATACTGTTTTCCACAGCGGCTGCACCAGTATGCATTCCCACCAACAGTGCAAAAGGGTTCCCCTTTCTCCACATCCTCTCCAGAACTTGTTGTTTTTTGATTTATTAATGATGGCCATTCTGACAGATGTGAGATGATGAAATGTCATCATGGTTTTAGTTTGCCTCTCTTTGGTGATTAATGACATTGAGCATTTTTTCATGTCTAATGGCCATCTCTATGTCCTCTTTGGAGAAATGTCTATTCAGGTCCTTTGTCCACTATTTAATTGGTCTGTTTGGGGCTTTTTGGTGTTGAGTTTTATAAGTTCTTTATGAACTTTGGATATTAAGCCCTTATCAAATACATCAGTGAATATGTTCTCCCATCATGTGACTTGTCTTTTTATTTGTTGATGATTTCTTTTGCGGTGTAAAACTTTTTAGTTTGATGTAGTCCAATTTGTTTATTTTTTTCTTTTGTTTCCCTTGACTGGGGAGGTATATCTGATAAAATATTGCTATGAGCAATGTCCAAGATTTTTCTGTCTATATTTTCTTCTATGATTTGTATGGTTTGGGGTTTAACATTTAAGTCTTTAATCCATTTTCAATTTATTTTTGTGTGTTGTGTAAGAAGGTGGTCTATTTTCATTTTTTCTGCACATAATGTCCAACTTTCCTAAGACCATTTAAAGAATAAACTATTTTTAGCCTATTGTATGTGCTTGCTTCCTCTGTCAAATATTAACTGACTATAAAGGTGTGGGTTTATTTCTGGGTTCTGTATTCTGTTTCATTGATCTATGTGTCTGTTTTTATGCCTGTACCATGCTGTTTTGACTACTATGGCCTTGCAGTATAGTATAGTTATTAGGTAGTGTGATTCCTCTTTGTTCTTCTTTCTCAGGATCAGTGTTGCTAGGCAGGGTCTTCTGTGTTCCATATAAATTTTATTCATTCTACTTCTGTGAAATATGTCATTGGAGTCTTGAAAGAAATTGCATTCAATCTATAGATTGCTTTGGGTAGCATAGACATTTTAATGATGTTAATTCTTTCTATCCATGAACATGGTATGTGCTTCCACTTATTTATATCTTCAATTTCTTTCTTTGATGCCTTATAATTTTCTGAGAACAGGTCTTTTATCTCTTTGTTTATTCTTTGGAATTTTATTCTTTTTGAAGCAATTGTGAATGGGATTGTTTTCTTAATTTCCCTTTCTGTTAGTTCATTATTGGCATATAAAGATGCAACTGATTTCTGAATATTAATTTTGTATCCTGTTGCTTTACTGAATTCATTTATTAGTTCTAGTAGTTTTTTGGTGGAATCTTTGGGGTTCTGTAACTATAGTATCATGTCATCTGCAAATAAAAATGAATCTGGCTTTTGACCCAGCAATCTCACTTCTGGGAATATATCTGTAGGGACCCAAAACACTAATTCAAAAGAACATAAGCATCCCTATGTTCATTGCAGCATTATTTACAATCAGCAAGATATGGAAGCAGCCCAAATGTCCATCCATAGATGAGTGGATAAAATAACTATGAGACATCTACACAATGGAATACTACTCAGCCATAAAAAAGATGTAAGTTTTACCTTTTGTGACAACATGGATGGACCTGGAGAATGTTTTGCTAAGTGACATAAGCCAGTTAGAGAAAGGCAAATACCATATGATTTCACTCACATGTGGAATCTAATGAACAAACTGAACTAACCAGCAAAATAGAGACAGACTCATAGATAGAGAACAGGATAACAGCTAAGGTTGTGGGGGGAATGGTAGAGGGTGGAAGGACTGAGCAAAAAGGAAAAAGGACTCATGGACATATATAACAGTGTGGTGATTGTGGTGGAGGAGGGGAGCATAAGGGGCCACATTCAAAATGATTAAGTGAGTAAAGCAACAAATCTGAATCAAATTTTGCATTAAGCATGAACATTCCTCTGTGGAAACTACTCAAATGATTCAGAAGGCCACAGCTATGGGCAACTGGTGAGTGGCAGCTTCATCACAACAATGTACCCGCTCATGCATCCTGTCTCATGCAGAGTTTTTGGTGAAACATCAAATTACCCAGGTGACTCAGGCTCCTACAGCCCATATTTGGCACCCTGAGACTTCTGGCTTTTCCCCAAACTAAAATCACCTTTGAAAGGGAAGGGATTTGAGACCATTGATGAGATTCAGGAAAATACAATGGGCAGCTGATGGCAATTGGGAGAACTGTGTGAGGTCCCAAAGTGCCTGCTTTGAAGGGGACTGAGATGTCATCATCCTGTGTACAATGTTTCTTGTATCTTCTTCAACAAGTGTCTCTGTTCTCCATGTTACATGGCTGGATGCCTTCTGGACAGACTTCATATATATGCATGTACTTGGATTAGTTTCTAAAGACAAATTCATTTCATCATGGACACACCTCACATAACATCAGCATTAAAATGGGACATTTTGAATTGTCTTGTTCCATCCCACTCAATGGATACTTACCTCCAACAGTTCAGATTAAAAGAGCTGATTATTTTTTAAAGCATACTATTTCATTGTTACTCAGTTATCTCATTACAAAATCATTCTACAGTTAAATAGGACCAGATGTGGGCAAGTACCCAGTTTAGTACATGGAACATAGTAAGTACATGATAAACTGTTTAAGTTGCTTGTGTAACCCTAAAATGTCCTTCCTTCAAATTCTACCTTCAAACTGTTCCCAAACTCAAACTTTGGGAACAACAAAGGTTAATTATTATTTCTCCTTCTATATGACAAATCTTCAATTACTCAAAAAATATACTTACATAATATTCCCCTGAAATGTCTCTCCTCCAGGCTAAGCACCCTCAGGTCCTTCTCCTACGTTCACAGTGTTATAATTTTTAAACAGGATACATTCAAAACAGTCAAGTAATAGTACTAGATGGCATATAAAAGGGAGAGGTGAGTAGTACAGAGAGCTAATAAAAGAGTGCATAAGTGCGGTATCTTTAGGACAGAATGGTCTTGAGAAGGTATTATGCTGAAGATGTAACTTATACGGGGCCCTAAAATTCAAGTAGAATTTGAGTGAACTGAAAACAGAATGTAGTATATCCCTTAAGTCCTGTACAGTGGTAGATATGCTTATTATTTGTTCTATCTGCCTAGAGAAGAGGTTTGGTGTATAGATGTTTATTTCTGTTTTAAATTTTTATTGTTTATTTTTAAGGCAATTGTGACTCAATCTCAGGAGGACTCAGTTTTTGTCAGTAGTCAAATACATTTGCACTTCAATTGTTTACTTACATCACACATGAGATTGTACAATGTTGTAGGAGTATGTATACTTCAAGCAATAGAGATTGATTTACTTGTTACTTGGCTGGCCATATAGACCCATTTACTTAGCATCTTCACTTTCTCTTCCTGTCTTATGCACTGTGTTCTTCATTCCCCACCCCTCAATGTATCTTAAGCTCTTGATCTAATATCTGTTTGATACCAGTATGGTTGAATCTCTTAATTGGGGTTCCTAGCCCTCACCCCAAATGAGGACATAGAATATGACTTATTTGAACAGTTTCTCATTTGAAACTTTGTCTGCTTTTTGGAAACAGCACTTTTATTTTTGTTAATTTTTGATCCATGTTTATCCTCATAGGAAATTGTCCATTTCCTAAAGAGGGTAAGCAAGGCATAGCATATTAGTGGCAGAGCAAGGGATGTGGCCTCTATTTTATACCATAA